TCATCATTTTCTTCTTCCTCTTCTTTATCACTTCTTAGCTTTAACTAGTCGCTTATTTCTCAAAGTCCCACACTTCCATCTCATAATAATGTATATATACAGTGGACATTTAACCTAATCCTAATATAATAGTCGAAATAAAAAGTTACATTATAATTTACATCTTATAGATTTGACTTACTTAAATTGGACAATTGAACAGTTGGCCCGAAAATCGAAAGCCAAAGTGGTTCCATTTGGGTTGGTTGTTAAAACCTTGATTTTAGTCAAAAGAAAGTTTCACAATCTTATTTATATTTTTAATAGTAGTGTAAATATAGAATTGTAGATGTGTTCATTTTTTTCTATATATATATATATATATTTATATTTTTCTATGTAAAAATAATTTTGATATGTCACACTTACTTTTTGTTTAATATGATAAATATATGATATTATGAATGTGCCTAAATGCTTTTTTTTGCATAATTTATGTCTTTTTTCATTTATATATCTTATATATTATTAATTTGTATAATTTATTTATGACATTAAAGGTTAACACATTTAACTCAAAAGCTTAACTATTTCTTATTAATTTTTATATTTAATTTTTTTGTTAGTTCTAAATTATGTCATTCATTTTCATTATCAATAAAATAATTATTGTTTATTACACTTATTTTTTAATTTGATTAATAAAGATATCATAAATGTGTCTATTTTTTTCTACAATTTTTTGTAAATTTCTATATTTAATTATATTTAAAAAATTTTATTACCTAAACATGACTCCATAGTTTGATCAATTTGATTCGAATGATTGAATTGCTTAGCCACCACTTGGATAAATAATGACTTTGTTTTTTAGTTAGTTTTAAAATATATGGATTTATATTGTTAAAAATATTGACATAGATCTAATTAGTAGCATTTATTAGTGAAAAAAAACTTAAAAATATAAGATTTAATAAGAGAAAATGAGATTTAATACCTCAAGTATATGACTTAATGAGAGAGGATTAAATGGAAAGTAATAATTGAAGTTACATTTTATACAAATATGGTCATTATAGTAGCCATTAAAGCTGCCATTAAAACTACAATAAAATGACATTTATAGACTTTCCCAAACAAAGAAATAGAAGGTAAATTTAGTCCAAAAAAAGTTTCACATTGCATCCACATTTGTATACATAGTATAGATTGCAATGAATTACAAAGGGGAAATTTTAAGAAATCCAGCTAGCATGATTGGTAAGTCTTCAATCATGGTTGGTAACTTTCCTTACATGAATCATGTCTTGTCATTTTGTTCTATTTAATATCATATCCGTTGTTAAATTATTAGCATTTCAAACATTTCTTACTACTTCAAACTACTCCCTTTTTCGTGTTCCCTAACCCTCTTCAATAATTGAATTGAATATATGTACCAAAAACGAGTTAAATATGAATCCACCCCTATATAATTCAGTCATTATATTTTTTACTTCATTTCAATATATATATATATTAGAATAGAATGGTGCGATGTTGTATCTATCTTTTATCTCATCTTTTTGATTTTTTTTATTTATAAATTATACACAATTCCACGTAGCTTCTTTTGAGCGCTTTCCTCTTAGACTCCCACCAAGGCACCAACCCCATTGCATGCTAATACTTTTTAGGGAGAGATATTGCCTGTGGCAAGCTGGTCACGATAGGGGTAGTAGGGTTGTTCAACAATGGAGGTAAGGGTGTCAATGGACCAGTTTTGGATTGGACCAACAAGACATATTGGACCAATAATGGTGTGAATGGAGGTAAGGGTGGCAAGCTAGTCCAAAATCAATTTGGACGTATTAGATGGACCAACAAGACATATTGGATTGGACCAATCCAGTCCAAAATATTTATTAGATTGGATTGGACCTAGTCTGTCCATAATAAATTTATATTGGATTGGGTWGGATTAAGCCAATATATATAGTCCATTGATATAAGACAATAATATAGGTGTCAATAAACCGGATTTGGGTTGAAACCAGTCTAAATTAAAACAAATTTAAACAGATTGGACGGTCCAAACATTGAATTTGATGGTCCAAAATATTAATTGGATTGGACCTGGTCCATTTGAAATGGACTCACACTGGACTGAATCGGATTGGACTAAATCCAATCCAATTGACACCTCTAAATGGAGGTAAGGGGGTGAAAGGTGATAAGGGACGTAGAAGGAGGCAAGGAGCAAGCATGATTGTGAATTTTTGCATAAATTGTAGGGGGAGATTATTATACACATATCATGGTGGTGGATGAAGAGAGCAAAGAAAACAAGAGAGCATGTGTCATAGATCTTTTGTGATGAAGATGGAGATGGTTTTATATTAGCAGGGGAGTTATATGTGGTGTTGGGGAAGTTGGGAATATCAAAAGAAACAGAGATTCATAGAGTAGATTGGGATTGAGATAAAGAAGGATAGACCCAAGAATTATTAGATTGCGATGTTGGATTTTGTTGGAGATGGTAGGCCCAATGGGAAGGAGCTGAAGAAACTGCAAAGGCATTAGAGCATTGATGGTAAAGGGACGATGATTTTGGAGTGTACAAAATGAATAAAAGAATAAGCACATAAGTATATTGATTAGTAGTTGGATGGGCTTATTAGGGGGCTATAGAAATCGTTCTCGCAACAACCCTACTTGGCCAATGGAAAGATACCCAAAAGGAGACCGGATAAAGTGCACGTCACATGGACCTCACAACCTCATTCCATCGTGTATTGGAAACATCTCTCATCCTTTATATTGTTATTCATAGGACGAGAGATGTTCCCGATGCATAGTACGTATGATGGAACTGTGATGTCCCTGTGAGGTGCGCTTTGTGAGGAGCATATCCCAATCAGAAATGTTGGAAATGTTGTTGCTGGTTGGATTGTAAGAAACCCATTTTAGCTTGACAAGTAAAGAAGACAATTTACACGGGTCATTGAGGACCCATTTTTGCACAACCTGAACAACATACGAGTCCTCTTTGATATATGGAACCCGTAATAATTAGATATATAATGTTGGCCAAATATTTAGTTAATAATATTATCATTCAAGAAAGAACGACACTTCAATCAAATATTTGTAGATTAATAGTCAATTAAAATAATAACTATCAATCATCTAATTAATAAAAGTAACATAAATTAATAAAATTTAAACTTAGTTTTGTAATCTAAAATTTATGTAAAAGTTAAAAAAATAATAAAACTTTATCCAACAATATATAACTCAAAAATAAAATTTGGATTGGACTTAGGAAAATTCAACATAATTGGGAATTATACAAACTTTAATTTTGCTTAACAAATCTCCTTATGTTTTATTTTGAAACAATAAAAAATAATAAATATTTTTAATTTAAAAATTGAAATTAATATAACATTTCTAAAAATAATTAGTAAACATTACGAATAAAATTATAATCAATAACAAATAAAATTCATTTAATTCTACTTAAAATACTTAAATTTTATAAAAAATATTAAATAAAATCCATTTAATGGAATTTTTATAACATTATATAATCTAAAATATGATGCTTGGGTTGGATTTTAATTTTTAAACGGCTTGGCCCAATTGAAAATGTCATTAGGCTCTTTTGGCTTCAATTTCGTTAAACAAAACCCGTGCATCCTAATATCTTAATTATGTTAGTTTATTTTAATACTGATATTCTACTTGAATAATTAATCCGAATGGTATAAACCCGATGGATTCTTTACAAGAAAGCCCGACGGATTCTTTAGGATAATTAGGGGTGTCCATTAAGGATGGCAATTTTTTTATTTCCCCGATTCCCGTGGGGATCCGCCCCGAATGGGGCAATGATGAGGATGATTTCCCCCCRCGAGGATGGGGATGGGGAAATTTTCATCCCCGTTAACGGGGATGGGGCGGAGACGGGGAGAGCACTCATCGCCTCGTAGAGACTTCGATCTCCGCTTTGTGGGATCCCCACTAATATATATGTATATATGTATGCATATGTTATATATGTAAATATGTAAACATATATCTATATATTAATATTTTTAAAAATATGGTTGAATATGTTTGAATATTTTCTAATACGATTGTAAATGTTAATTATTTTATTTTTATTTTTATTAAATAAAATAAAAAACAAAAAACAAAATGGTTAGCATTATAAAGAATCACGGGGAATGGGGATGGGGATAACCTTGTCCCCGTTAGTAGGGATGGGGATGGGGAAAGACCCCTTGTCCCTGCCCCATTGCCATTAGTTAACCGAACCGTTGAACTTTTTTGTAAACTGAATCGGTGATATCGGTTTTTCCAATTCTTCAAACCGAAACCAAACTGGTACCACCGGTTAACTGGTCTACCGGTTTCGATTTTTGACCGGTTCGATTCTTCGATTTTTCAATTTTTTATATTTATAATATATTATATAAATATATGTATAATATTATATAATAAATAATAAATAATAAATAATAAATAATAAATAATATATTATCAATTTCGAAACGAAACCAAACCGATCGATGCAATTAGCACATTTTGCGGTTTGTTTTTCTCGGTTCGATTCGATTTGTTTTTTTGGTTTTTAGGTTTTTTATGGACACCCTAGATTACGCCTTGGATCCCCAAAATGGACATCCCAAAATTCTTGCAAAAAACCCAACGGATAAGACCTTGGATCGATTACGCCTGAATATAACGAAACAAATTTTGAGGGTGGGAAGCAAAAAAAAAAAAAAAGAGGATTTAGGTACGGCCTATTGAGACGGGATGGGCTCCCCACAAAGCCCACTGCCCATCGTTGGGAGCCCACCCGATTCGATTCGATCCGCTACAGTGCAGAATATTCCATTTTATTAGTTGATCCACGATATGCGATCCTACGTGGGATCCATCCATTCCAAGTGGGCCTGGGTCCCACCAGGATGATGCAACGTTCTGACATTCCCGACCATATCAATCATCGTTGATGCTGTAAGAGGTCCACTCCAGATAAAATCTACAGTTGACAGACCAACAGCTGAACTAAAAACATTCGGACGGAACAGCAAGAGAAAATCGCCATGGCCATCGCCAATGCTTACTTCTCGTCAACTCTGATCCGATCCAGAGGTTGCAAGCTTGGTTTCAGTTCTCAAATATGTCCGTTTGAGGTCGCTAAGGTCTCTGTTTTTCGCCGGGGATCCGTCGACCCTGGAATTGGTTTCACAAGGAGGAAGTAAGAGCCATATTAATTTCGGTTTTGTTTTTCTCATGTTTTCCTCTGATTAGTCGTTTTTGTGTGTTGATTATTCTCGGGATTTCTCTAGGGTTTATGATTTTCTCGTTGTTCCTACTGATGACCTTGGTTGGTTTAGTTGGACTACTGGTTGTTGAGAATAATGTCTTTATTCAGATATTTCGWTGTATTTAACATCATTTTATCATTGTGTTCTTCGTAGTTGATTCTATTACTCCTCAATAATTAATGCTTAAACTTTTCCCTTGCCCCAATTCCAGATTATTGCATAATTTGTTGTTCTACTGAAAAGGAATCTTGTCTTTCTAAGTTTTAGGTGTTTGTGATGATTGCTAAGATTGTTTAAATTGACCTGTAGGGACGTTCTTCAAGCTGCTGCTAATTCAACAAGTACATTGGGTTCGTCTTCTCCGGTCAGTGGCACTTGTCGTGTCTATTGATTGTTTTTAATAATTTATTTATCCATTTCTCCTCAGAAATGGGTTCCCATTAGATTCAGTTATTGCTAAAGTACTATGTCAAAGTTGTATCTTTGACGTTGGGTTCTGCATTTTTTTCTTAGGCTAGTTAGTTCCTTAAGGTTTTGCTATTATTTCTCAGACAAATCCGAAAATGAATGGTCATAGAAGAGGAAATTCAGCATGTATCAATTGGCATCTAGCATGTTCAATATGTGCATTACTTTGTAGATTGCTATTAGGTTAAAAGGTCATTTCTATATTTTGATTTGGATTTTGACATTCTTAATTAGTTATTCCTCTGGTTAAATTCCTTTCAGCATGTCTTTTCTTCTTTGTTATTCATAGTTATTTGTCTTTTATTTGCCTTTCTATTTTGCAATTACCAGTATTATGTTTTCACTTATTCTATAGTGCACCCTAATTTTCTTGTCCAACTGTTTTCTGTAGAAATTCAATCACTTAACCCATGTCGCTTTCTCTATGTACATATCTATTGGAGCCAAAGATACATCTTTGTTCCTTCGCCTGGGCGTAAACAGTGTTCTATGCAGGAATCTGACCAAAAAGAAAATTGTGAATCTTTCTTTCTCAGGATGCAACATTATGGCCATCAGGAGTTTTAGAACTGGGAAATGAATCCATATAGTCTTGAATTTGGCTGTAAAATATATCATGAATTTTGAGTGTTCTTGATGGACTTTAGGGATTGTTGCTTGGTGCAATGGTAAAGTCTCAGGCTGATAAGTGTGAGAATGTGATTCAAGTCTGAGAAGGGCACTTTGTGCAAAAAAAAGCCAAAGGTTAGGTTAGGTCTGTATCCAGAGTCCAGACCACCCTTCCAAGACCCCAAATACAACATTTGGGCCTTTATTCTTGATGGACTTATGCCACCTTTGCTTCATTCTAGCCTTTTGGTTTTACTTCTCTTGTCTTTGATGCAGGAGACACTGAGCTAAATCTAGGAATTTCCTATTTACTTATGTATTTATGGATGATAGGGCTATTGTATTAAATTTTCAATAGATATTTTCTGATTATTTGAGTCATTAACAGTTTTCTTAGTTAGATTAGGAGTTATTTTAATAAGCCAGAGTCATAGTCCTAAAGCAAGTAAGATTTTTCTTATTTCCTGTCTCAAGTCAAACTCCCAATCCTTAGCCAAATGGTTATGCAACTTGAGTGGACTTGGATTGAACATTTATTAAATTTAGAAGGGGCCTGTTTCCAATGCATTGGAAATTCTTTAAAGTGGGTACCTGATTACCCCATTAAAGCCAATAGGGCTGCTAACAGATTGTGTCAAATTTGGATAGGGGTATATACAAATGTGATCTGATAAGAATATGGCAGATCCAATATCCGATGGATAAGCAAAATACAGATCGAAATTTGATTCATTTACGAATCCAGGTATCCGACTCAAATCAAATTTGATTAAAATATCAATAAATCTATACAAAATTAGCATAAACTTACAAATAAATATACAGTATAAATGGGAGAAATATTGATCAAAAAAGTATAAATGGAAAAAATAAGTTTATCTTAAAAAAGAAAGATAAAAAAGCTAGAAAAAAAATACAATATGCAATATCAACTCTTAATATCAAAATATGTTTCTTGAATGTTGTATTTTCTTTTGTAGATTTCCCTCAAAATGACAAAATGTTGTTTAACTATAATTTTTCTTCCCAAAATACCCCCTTTCTTCATTCATAATCCAATTTGAACTTTGAATACTCCAATACTCCCTTCAAGCTAGCTTGCTTGGAAAGAAGTATCATAACCTTGGTGGTAACTCTTGAACAAGGCATTTTGAAGATTTTTTATGGTGGCAACCAACTTTTACACCTCACTAACAAGGATCCGATCATCTTGAAAACACTTGTGGTGGCACATAAGGTTCTTATCCATGACAAAACAAGTCTTAAATTGATTAGATGGTACTCATGGTGCCTCATGGCCCTTACACCAAGACACGACCAACATCGTAAACGTGGCTGTCCACAGCTCTTACTCAAGACACAGCCAACCATCAAATTTACCTCTTAGCACATTCCTTAGCAATAATAGAACACTACCAACATCACATGGTTCAAACCACAACCACTATTATTTTAGGTGGAGGACACTACATAATTAGAGTTCCTAACATCCAAAATACCTCAAGTGACAACATAAAGGTAACTTGAAAACAAATGGCCCTTAGATGAAGATTAAGACTTCCCCTAAACAAAGACTTGTAGTCCCCGAGGCATTTCATCAAGTATGTACATGACACAAGGAACATAGCTGTTGAAATACTTGATACCCTCACTGGAACGGCATGTATTGGCTGATACAGATCGATACATTATGAAATTTAAAACCTTGACCAACACCCTTATATCCATTGGGCTGAGATCTAGTAGTACCATTACTGTAGCCTCAATGACTGAAGGCCTCAACATGGCATTCCTTCTACTCACCTCCCTAGGCACAAAAGCATATGCTTGTGAAAGAGTTACACTCCCACACAACAATCTCCAAATGTTCTATCTCTTGCCACAAGGTCTTCAGGGGTGGAGAAATATACTGCAAGAGGCTTATTTCCTTGTTTCACACTGTTCACTTATTCCTCAACTAGTTTGCATGAGCTACATTCAAGGCTTAATAATAGTTCTCTATCCAAGATCTCTTTAGCAGTTTTCATCCACAAAATATTCCTGCTGATGTGGGGTAACATTGAATTGCACAGCCAGGTCATGATCATCTAGTTCTCCTGAATCCCTAAGGTATGGGATGGACTAGAGGACTGGTTTCTTTGTTTCCCCTGTAATATATCCTATTTTACCTCTCCCATCAATTGCCATGCATGCAGGTTGGGACCACTCAAGGTAATTCATACCATCCAGCTTCACAGTAGTGATTTGGGTTCTTGACATCTCTTCCATTCCTCCTGGAGACATACCCAATTCTCTCCTGTCTTCTGATTACTTCCAGATCTGCCCATTGTTTTCAAACAATTTCAAACAACCAATCTCCAAGCTAGAAAGCAAGAACAAGGTTCTAGAGAAGCTAACAGATGACAAACATGACCAGCAGATTTGTCCCAGGACTATAGGAACAGGGGTAAGGCAGATTGAAACAAACCTTCCTAAAGAGAAAAATCCAGGAAAAAAACTGGTTTCCAGAGATCAAAGACCAGTTTTCTTTAACCTGGGAGAAGGAGAAAACTGGAGAGTTGAAATTGCTCTCTCCATAAGCTCTAGAAAACTCTCCAGAAGCAATTGGCCACTCCCAGATCCAAAAACAAAGTGAGTTGGATGCGGCCACCACTTCCAAGGGGTGTAGACAGACTGGATGTAACCTTTTCTTTCTCTGATACTTCCTATTTTCTGTTTTTTCTCCTAGATTCCTCCGTGGGCAGCAAAGATCCACCAAAACCTCCAGGGGTTAGGCTTCAAAGGACAGATAATCAGCCTTCCTACTCTTCTGTGCAGTCGGCTGATCTCAAGACTGCACAGTACCAACTTCAAGAGAACTTAAAGTGGCTCTGATACCAAGTAGAAATATGCTGACTTACAAACAAAGGGGAAAAGCAGCAAGAAAACTGAATAGAGTAGATTGATTGAAAGCAAGAAGAGAGAGAAGGAAGAGAAGAAGAAAATAGGAGGAAGAAAAAGGGGAGCCAAAAGTGCTATGGCCACCCCAATCACTGTTATTTATACTTAAAGAATAAAACATGTACAAAGATCAATATGCCCCTAGTGAGGTGGATACTGCTATAAACAACTAAAAACAATAAAATATTGTGGGCCGAGGTCCAATAACGGTAAGAAATAAAATAAGAGGCCCAACACAACTATCAACACTTGTACGGTGATGTCCTTCCATTTCAACAGTATGTAGTAAAGGTCTAAAGGATATTATCTTCTTGAGACAGGTGATTGTTTTATTCTTGAAAACACTGGACAGTCTGAATGACTGGACCCTTTTTGCATATAATTGAAAACTTTAGTCATTTAAAGCAACAAATTCAATTGTCAGCAATTACCATGGACCTTTTGTTCTCTACCATGAGTGTTGCATGGACTCTCCTAAATGGTTGACATGTCTGTGTTGGATACGCATCGGAGTTTGACACTCCAGAGATTCTTGAGGACACTTTTGTGTAACATTTCTTTTCTATCTCTTAGTTTATTAAGATAAGTGAACAATAATGTACAAGATGAATGCCATTTTTGTATCAAACATTACTTGGTAACAAAGGCAACATCTTTTTTGGGTATATAATATCAGAACTTGAAAAACATGAACTATTTTAGTAGTATATACTTTTCTGTAAATGTGTCCATGAATCCATGATTTCTTATATTGCCAAGTTAGACTCTTGGATACATATCTGGTTCCAACACCTGTGTTTCTGTCAATGCAATACTGATACCATTACAAATTTCTAAAATAAATTTGTTGGTAGAAAATTTTAAAACCACATGCATCCAAAATTATGGAGATTTGTTCTGAAATCTCCATTTTAAGCGATTCATTAATGATAACAAAATCCACTGACTTGTCACCCAACTTATCATCTATGTTTATATATTTACCATTCAAATATACAAGAAAGATTCATATGACCTAATTACACACATGTCACACATATAGCCCCCTATCTGAAAAAGAAAAAATGGCTTCTGAGTTGATGAGTTGAGAGGTTCATGAATTCCTGTACACTTACCCTTATATTGTAATCTCAATCATGTCAAAGAAATCTTCAATATTTTCTAGTTTTTTTTATCAGCAAAAAAATTCATTTATTAATGTAAATATTTGAAATTAAGTTACAGGTATACAGATCCCATAAGCACTAGGTTACAACAATGCCCAAAAAAGGATGGTCTATCTGCTCCCTGCTTGGCTAACACATCTGCCAACGCATTAGCTTCCCTTTTAACCCATCTAAAAATAGAGTTAAATTTCTTTGCAAGTTGGTCAATCTGTCTGAAAGTGAACCTGAGTTTCTTGGTGCTTCTTGTATGATGAGGGAGACAATTCTTGCCATCTACCTCTTCTCCTGGGTAACACAAGTATCCTTTTAGTTCTCACTAAGTATTAGTCCCAATCAAACAGCCTCTAAGTTAAGGTGTTCAAAGCTTTCGCCTTCCAGTTAATCCATCCCTATCTCACTGTTATTTATTAATAAATTTTCTTTTTTACTGACTACCAAAAAAATCCCAATCATGCAGAAGGAAACCTCCAACTTTTCCTACATTTAGCTTTTCTTGCATGGAAATAGAAAGAATTCATGCTATCTGCCTCTTCCTACATAGATTGGATAAGATGAGTATCATCCAGGAACATTATTGTTAATGACAACTGCTTACATTAGTGTTTGTTTAGCATCTTCTGGTACACTTTATAGTGTGTTTATCCCCATGCTACTTGCTTCTATCTAATCCCTTCTTCAGTTGTTGATTTTGATGGTCTTATCTTTTGAATAGTCAGCATGCTGATATTATTCAATAGAGTCATCTATGGACTAACAAAGCTTAATTACAAACTAACACTTTCTTACGACTTGTTTTTTGTAATGAACATCCCATTTTTCTGACATTCATCAATGTGTGATCTTTGTGCTTTGTTATCTATTATGCCTTCCATTTCATGCTATAGATACTTACTATCCTTTTAAGGAAAATGTTTCTCTAAATTTGGTGTGCTTTTCACTTCAGTACAAGATTTATGGAATTCTTACTATTTCTGTGATTCTCAAAGCTGCTTACTTAAAGTTGATTCCAGTGAAATCCACTTCCAGAAGCATGACCAAATGGGAAATGATAGATGTTCTACTAGACCACCTTGTTTCCAGAATTTTCCTTTTCATTTGCAATACTAAAACATACAGATTTTGTAGCATATGGAGAAAAAAAATACCAGCATTATATCAATTATTGCAACTTTGACAAGTTTTTCCATTGGCAGATATCTGATCAGGATGCTGATAATGTTCCCATGCCAATAGTTTTGATAGATCAAGATTCAGATTCTGATGCAACAATTGTACAACTTAGCTTTGGAGATCGCCTTGGAGCTCTTATTGACACAGTAAAGTGACTTCACAACCTCTTTCCTCTATCATGGCCTTTCACCACGTGGCTGAAGGACCATACAAGCTTATTCATTTAAATAATTTCCAGAAATTTCAAGAGCTCTTATCGTTGGTGAGAAATGCTTTATGTGATGGGAACTTTGAAGTACTTAATAGGTGGCTAATCCTGATGTTCTCCGATAAGTTGGACCATTTAGATCTGCAATGTTGAAACCCACATAGGAACATTGCCATGGAATTTAAACAAAGTTGTCAACTGTGCTGCAAGGGACAAGCTGTTGAAGAATGGAATCTGAGCTGCTATTCACTACATTCTGTACCTTGCCGAACTTATCTTTAAGATACCAACTGTTCATTTTGAGTGATGACATTCGTCAGATCAAAACAGCTAGTTAATGTGACAATTATTTGTGATTGGGCAAGCTTTCTGGGTTTTGCATGCCAATTTTAGCTATTCTACTGAACACTTGAAATACTACATAAGACTTCATGCCAATAATTGGTTAAGTATGTTTACCCTGTAATTGCCACTCCATGTGATATAGTATGGACAAGATATCTCCTTTACGAGGCCTCAATTCTGAATATTGTCATTCTAACTTTGGTACATTATTATGTATGTGTCCAAAAAGAGGTTATATTTATGCGTGTTTTATGTTCTTTTAGATGAAAGCTCTTAAAGACCTGGGCTTGGATGTGGCAAAGGGAACTGTTACAACCGAGGGATCAGTCATACAGACAAAATTTTTCATAACACGATTGTGAGTACTCTGTCTCTATCAGAAAATTCTAGTACAGCATGAAAGTATTTCTATGGTAGTAACTAGTTGGTAATGCTATGTGGAACTTACAGCAGAAGTTGGATATGGATGTAAAATGATACTAATATACTAGCAATGGAATTTCTAATAATTTGGCTTTGTGATCCTTCTACATGGAAACCACTGAAGGACAGCATACTAGCTATCATGGTTTACCTTGCCTTCAAATAATATAGCTGTATTAGTTTTGCACATCTAAGAGCAACAAATTTGGGCTTTCTGGATTTTTTTTAGCAAATATTGCTTATATGCTGTCCAGGTGAGCCCACCTCGCAAAGCCAAAAGCTGCCATGGGAATGCCCTCCCAAATAAGCACTAAATATTCTAAAATATGAAATGGAATGGCAGATAATGGGTCTTTCCACATACATACATATACATATATATATATATATATTTCACCAGATATGTGAACTCCTATACTCCATGATCAAGTGGTAGATGTTAGTGTAGGCTATGCCTCACCATATTATGACGTTAAATTTCCTTGCTTCACTTAAATTGTATGATACTTATGCTTTCTTTTACTTTTTAACACAGATTTGTGCACAATTGCAGTCATACAGTTGTATATGAAGATTGGCAACAATTTGACAACAATAAATGTGTCTCCTTATAGCTTGTTTGTTGTACTTGTTATGTATTTGACGTAGCAGTTTTACAAAGGTTGCAGTTCTTTTGCCATGTTTTGTTCTTGAAATGGGTGCACAGCTTTTTTCTGCAATTGGAAATTTATATTTTTCTGAATAGTCAAATGATTCTTTAAATGCCTCATAATGGCACCATTAGTAGATCGGCATAAATTTGTCTAATTGGCATTTGGCACCTTTACCATACTTCACCTGTTTCTGATGTTTAATGTTTTTATTGGAATTTATTAGCATTTGGCACTTTTCTCTTTCAATTATAATTTAGGGACACAGGGCGCAAAGTTGAAGATCCTGACATGTTGGAGAGAATAAGGCTTACCATCATCAATAACCTTCTGAAATTTCACCCTGTATGTTTTTGGAATTTGATATTTTCCTTTTATTATTTTGTTTTCAAATCTTCTATGGATCTATTTACTTATTTGTTTTCTTATAAATTTTCATTTTTTCTTTTTTCAAAATTGTTGCAGGAATCTAGTGAAAAGCTTGCTATGGGTGAGGCTTTTGGAATAAAAGCACCTCAGAAGAAGGTCATCAATTAATGACTTGCTGAATGATGGGCCTTTTTTTTTATTTCTTTCCCAAATGAATGAAGTTGCTCATATTGTATATTTTCTGGACTTATGGCCTGTCTCTTGTCCAAATATTTTATATGACAAGCTTACATTCACCTAGAAATATTGATCTTTTGAATCTACCAGAAACTAGACCATGAAGACACGGGCTTGTTGACGGTAATGGCATATCAAATAAGACAAAATGATGCTGTTTCGGTTCCTGGTGAAAGACATGTAGTATATATTTGCCGTGGGGGGTCTCAATTGGATTCTTTTTGGTGATAATTAACATCTTATTGGATTGGAATTTCTTTAACTAAACCAGAATGGAAAGCATAAAACATTAGAGTTTCAAGATTTTCAGTGATGACTCAGGACTTAAATCCTAGCTTATGCAGGAACCTCTTTGGAAATTTCTACCAGAGAGGCATTTGCAATATAATAATTTTGAAATGGAAACTGCTCTAATACATGGTTCTTAATTGAGTACAGTGGTGGGACTTGGGACAGGATTCATGTAGCCTGTTCAAATAGTTGGGATTAAGGTCGAGTTCAGTTGAACTGCTCTAATACTTATACATGATGGTTGAAATAAGAAGGTTCATGCAGGTGACTTGGTTCCATATTGGTGAAAACTCTCACATAAGTGAAAAATTTCAAGTTATGTGGCTTATGCTATGGTTATTTGAAATACCAGACCAGCTTAGATATAAAATACATTGACTAATTTGCCACTGTTGGGGACAATTCAGTGATATCTACTTATTGTGGTAGAATTATATACAACAGCTGTTTGAAAGGAGATTTACTCGGCATGCTTTTGGAAGGGACCTGGAAACTCCTTAGCAGATACTCCTGAGTTGCTTTACAGCTTAAGGCAATTGGTGGAAGAATGGAGCTCAGGGTAGCATTTTGGAAAGTGGGTTCTGTAACAATTTAGAAATACGGCACAAGAAAAGAAGGACCATCATTTTTAATCAAAAGTGGATGGTGTATACATGCATATGCATTGATTTCTTTGGCAATTCAAACTTATACTTTTTCATTTTTCTTGCTAATTCAAAGTTAACTTCTAGATACTTTCAATCAGCTTTTGGTTTCTGTACTACTGAATGTATTTGTGGGTTAAGACTAATCTGTTAGCGATATTCATGTCTGTAAAAGATATGTTTGGTTGTATGGAAGATTCTTTTTTGGTTGCATACCTGATCTTATACTGTTGCTCCTAGAAGTTCTTATGGTGGAAGTATTCCCATTATACAGTATAAAGAAAAGGTACTTCTGGTGGAAGTGTTTTCATTATACAAAAGAAAAAGAGGTACTTGTAGTGGAAGTGCTTCCATCATGCAGTAGGAATCTAATTTGACATGTGACATTACTCCTATTACCTTGCCTCATATCAATTAGGGTACTAATACTAATTTTGCCATTGACAGCTTGATGTTGACATTGCAACACATATATATGTTAAGGATGATGGACCTAAGAGAAGGTCAGCCACTTCTCACTAAACCTATTTGAAAGTCTTGTAGCATAATGTTGTAACATGTCTATTCTGATAAAGAACACTGTTATTGATTATACTGCTTCTATTTCATGTACAAATACACCATTGCAGGAGATAAACTTTATAGATAATGAAATCCTTGTTCACAAGCATAAATGCATGTTTTCTTTTTTGGTTTCCTTTTATTTACTTGATTTTTCATTTTTCCAGCTTACTTTATTTAGAGACAGCTGATCGTCCTGGACTTCTGTTGGAAATCATTAAAATTATGGCCGACATCAACGTCAGTGTGGAATCAGCAGAAATTGACACAGAGGTATGTATTCAGACGTCTCTTGTGTTAGCTTTCTAATTTCTCTTATAAACCTATTTTATTTTTAATGAAATAGGGATTGGTAGCCAAAGATAAATTTCATGTCAGCTACAGAGGGGCAGCATTAAACAGTTCCTTGTCTCAGGTAATTGATTTAGGACCATGATTCCTTGGCAATTATGTGACAAGATTTCGACCGCTAGAAGCTTTCTTCATTTTATGACCTCAGAAGGGATATAGTTGAAAGTTTATGCAAAAAACAACGAAGAATCATCAAAGCCTTGTCCCAAATAGACAAAGAATCGTTAACATAATTTTATGAAAGGCTCCTGTAAAAGCCTTTCTTATCTATTAAATTTTCATCTTTTTGGTAAAATATTACATGATTACACATCTTACTTGTTTTTGTGCTCTTCTAGTAGTCTCTTGTTTCATCATCATTACCATCACCATCCATGCCTTATCCCCAACTATATGGGGTCAATTACATGAATCTTGTTTCGCCAATCTGTTCTAAAGCCATATTCACTGTTAAATTATTACTGTTTAAATCATTTCTTACTACTACTCATGTCCTTTTTGGTCTACCCATAGCTCTTTTAGATCCTTCCACTTATAAGAAAGTACTCTCCTCTTTAGACTCAAGAAAAAAGTTCACATTTTTTTTTGGGCAAGAAAAAAAGTATACATTTGAAAATTGATGTTGATTCTATGTGGTTCCAACTTCAAATTAAATCAGAACACTCGTAAGGTTACTTAGTTAAGCTTTTTGTTTATACTTTGAGTTCTCTCTCTCTCTCTCTCTACACATTTATTTCACCATGCAGGTTCTGGTAAACTGTTTGCGGTACTATCTTCGAAGGCCTGAAACAGATGACGATAGTTACTGATACCTGGCAGCAGTGTACCATCTCTTTTTTGTAACTTAACTGATACACCTCGTGAGGTTGCCAGAGTCATGAGTATATCCACTCTGATGTAGCTTATCTTTGACTAGTACTGTATGATGATCTCACTTTGGACAAGCAGTGAATATACCAGCAATAATCTGATTGTTATCATCCTTGTAATCTGTACGTAGAGAAAATGCTGGATTGCGCTTTATTTTATCGGACCATTTGGTTGGGAAAAGGCAATTTTCCCCACAAAATGGTGTATAAAACTAGGGCCCTGCTTGGGGTACTAATGAACCATTTGGCTGTACCTGTGCAACTTGGGCAGGCCCAACCCGAGCCCAAACCAACCCATTCTGCACTTTTACATGGGCTGGGCTTGGATATTTGATCCTTGGGTTTAAGTTTGGGTCCAATACTTTGCTTTTATTTATTTATTTTTTATTTTTCAGGTTCGGCATGGGCCTAGCCATTATGTAATCTGAGCCTGGCATAGTCTTATACTAATTCGAGTCCTACATACACATACATGCATATATATATATATATACATACATATTTGTATAAAAGCATACATATATGCATACATGTAATGAGCAATCTGAGCGCAGCTCGGCCTTAGCCCAATCCAAGTGCATCAAATACCAGTGCAGGCTGGGGCTGGATTAAAAAGATGTTGACCTCGGGTTTTTTAGGAATGGGCATGGATTGGTCATAAACCTGGCCCAATCTGTTCAACTTGCACCCCTAGTCAAACATGAGCTTCCCCAGCTAGCTTCCAAAATGTTATGTAGCAGCTCCTTTAATTTTAAGCCTGAGTGGCAACTGAATGATAAAACCGGGAGCACGGTACATCTGAGAAGCCAGCTCATTGTTAAAACAATTGCAGCGCACGGTAATCAAGCCAAAGCAAGCAATTTGGTGCCAGAGGGTTCATTTTTCACAACTCGTCTTTTGCGAGAGCGAGACGTCGGCTAGAGTTGATTACCGTGGAAACACAGAACAATAATTCTCTCTGCATGACATGCCCCTTTATTTTGGTGGAGCAGTCTTTAAGGGTCAATTTCAAAATTTCCGGTACGTATCTCAAGTCTTAACATCTATATACTGCATTACTGCGAGAGACGAAATTGTAAAGTTAATTAAAATTATACTGTGGAGAAGACTTGTGGGGTATTTTCATTGGATGAACCCCAATTTCAGTTACAACCATTAAGGAGCTCACAACCTACTTAAAAATTTATTCATTAGAATAACAAGTTGTTCGGTTCAGCAATTGAGCAACTTCAACTATTATCAGACATTCCCTTACAAGAATACCATCAAGTCCTCAATTGGTATAGGTACACTATACATGAATTAACCGTACGGTAAAAAAAACTGTACTGGTATAGGTACATTGTGCTGAGATGGATGAGTAAAAAAATTAGAAAAGATAGGATTAGAAATGAAGTCATTGAAGGAAACTCAGAAAGTCAGAAGTATCTCTAATAGGTGACAAAATGAGATAAAGTAGACTAAGGTGGTTTGCTCACATGCATGGAAGACTATCAACAGTGCCCATAAGAAGCAATTTCTTGCAAGTTGAAGAGGCTAGAAGTGCTAGGGATAGATAAAAAAGGACATGCTAGAGGAAAGAAGCTTATTCAAGGACCCCACTTAACAGATTAAGCTTTTAAGTTGAATGGTTCCTTGTTGCCCCTATTAGAAGTAGTTAAATTTTATCACAAGGTATGAGTGGGCTGTGTTTGTTCATGCTTCAAGCCCAATAGGCTTTCCTTGACACAAATACATAAACTTTTTTCTACTTTTACCTTTTGATCTTGATATTTTTTTAGTGACATTGTCATATCACAACTTTTTTATTAAAATACTTAAAATCAACTGATTTTTAATCTACAAGTTATCATGGGCTCTGAAAAACAATACATATTATATGCACTGATATGTTTCGATATTTTGAACCTTGGGTAGTAGTAATAAATGATTTAAGCACTAATAATTGGGATGAGTCTTGGATGATGATGATGGTGCATCCTTTTATTTGGAAAATGAACTCAAGGAATCATAACAGTTAACAAGGAAGTTCAGGGGATGGTTTAGAATCTTGTTTGTATTTGCACTGGCAAGGTGCCAACTGGTTGGGTTGGTAAGGTCTCCTGTTGGTTGTAGTGGAGACTTGTGATTGAATCCTGCCTACACCTAGGTTGGGGGATGGGAGTTATGGGTTACCTTGTAATTTGAATGAACATATTTGTATTTGCACTTGCAAAGTGCCAACTAGTTAGTTGGTATGGTCTCCTACATGTTGTAGCGGTGACTTATTGGGATCAAATTCCACCCTGCACCCAGGTTGGGGGGTTATGGGCTACCTTGTATTTGCATTGAACATATTTGTATTTGCACTCTCAAGGTGACAACTGGTTGGTAGGTAAGGTCTCTTGCTGGTTGTAGCGTAGACTTATGATTGAGTCTTGCTTGAACCTGTGGAGCAAAAAAAAAAGGTGTCAGGTTCTATTATCCCAATTCCCAAAAAAAGGCTATGCATGTGTTGCTGGATCAACCCATAAATAATCTTCCACAAAAAAAGGCTGTTTTAATTTCACCCCAATTATGGCCTCTTGCCAAATATAAAGGATAGTAATTTCCAAGGATGAAATTGCTCTTTAGGAGTTTGGATCTCCAATGCGTTGACACAAATCATGTTGGAATGTTTTTTTTTGAGGAGATCTAAACTCTTTAGAGGAACATTGGCAACACTTCCTTAATTTTTATTTACCTCCTTAATTTATTATTTACCTTTTGGATAGTATGGTGAAGATGAACTTGGCATCCATCCAGTTTTCTTACTACTGCGTGGCCATTCAATGGGGTCCACTTGCAAGGATCGATGAGCATGGTTTCACACGAGAGGTCTTAATAGTTGGAAGATATTTAGTCTATTAATTAGACTCATATCTATATCTGATGAGGGAAGATTTGTCCCTCCACTGACATAATGATATATGGCATCTTAGAACGGTTGGATGACACCCCGACATCACCTAGGCGATGACTTGCCTTAACCAAAATGATGGAATCCYAATTGGCGACCTATCTCCGTCGACCTGGCGACCTGCCTCCGCCGACTTGGTGACCTGCCTTTTCCGATCTGGCGACTTACTTCCGCCAACCTGGTGGCAACCTAACTGGCGACCTCATCCACAACTCAAGGCGGATAAACAACACCTCATTTAGGGTCGACCTGTGGTACCTTGTCAGTATCGGCTGAAGTGACCTTGATGTGAGGAGCGACCTCCCTCGAGGGCTTGCCGACCTGATTGAGGTCCAGGTGGTGACTTGCGAGACGTGCTCGCCGACTAATTCTGCATGCATCCCGTCACTCCCGGGTCTCTCAGAAGTTGGCTCCCACATTGAATGTTCCGAAGGAAACCGAATAAGGCACAAAGATTGGTCTACATGCACGACTACCTTCGAGGACTTTGGACTGATTAGGCATGTTTTCCCAGAGATCTCGAATTCGGTGTGTGATGCCCATGCCAAACAATGCCTATATAAGGGCCTTACCTCCAACCTCACAAGGTACATGCGCAATTTAGCTCTCGCAACTCTCTACCTCTCGCTTGGAGCTCTCTCAAAAATCTCCAACTCGTTGACTTAAGCATCGGAGTGCCCATCCCGGGTAAAGCAACATGGGAACTTTGACATTGTTTCCTTGTAGGTTGCCCCAGTAAACTATACAACTCGTTATTATTTAGTTAGGCATCCAAGCCACCTTCTAGCTAGGAATTGCAGGTCACCCATTCTCTATCACTCAATCCTAAATTTAAGGATATATTTTTTTTTTGTTTCTTGTCATTAAATTCTATTAATTAAATGTATACACAACAATTTAGATAGTATAAAAATATGTATTTTTAAAATTGACATAGGTGGTTGGCAAGAAATTCAATCATTTGGGTGAATTGGGCCAACCCATGGTATTATGATTAAATAATAAAAATGCAAAAATAGATAAAATACATAAAACTACAGAAAATTAAGAAAATTTTGGGTACATCTTGAATATTATATATATTTGTTAAATTAAACAAAAATTAATATGACAAATAAGAAGTATTTTTTATTAATTATAGAAATGCAATACCACAGTTAAAACTAAATCATTTAAGAAATAATTCAATTACATTGGGCTTGGACAAGGGTTTGGACCATTGATTTTTTATTTTTTCAAATTATCAACCGAACTGATCCAAGTTGCACTCCTATTTAACCATTCAGGTCAAAATGCCCCCCCCCCCATTTCTTATTGCTTCATCATTTGTTGATGGGTGGGACTTTCTTTGGTATATTTACTTGCTTTGGCAATAGGGCATGCTTCATTCTTTTCTTTCCTTGCTAATTTTAGCTTGTCCTAGCAAATAAGGTTGGAATCTTCTTCCCCATATGAATACACAACATGGACAGGCAACACACATGGAGCTTTGATCTATTTAAGACAATTGGATTCACTTTGTTGCAAGCAAATTGCAATACATTAGATATCAACTAGGTGTTGTGATTTCAAGTAATTTCTTGGAGCTCATTAGTTAGAAAGGATGGCTGAAACTGTGGCTAATGCTCTCATAGAGGAGATCATAAGTAAGTTGATCTCCATGGTTGCTAATGAGATCGGTTTGGCGTGGGGTTTCAAGAGACAATTGCGAAAGCTTCAGAACACTTTGGTGGGGATTCAGAATGTACTTGAGGAGGCTGAGACGCGACAGGTTATGGAGAAGAATGTGAAGAAGTGGTTGATGAGCCTGAAAGATGTCGCTTATGAAGCTGATGACATATTGGACGAAAATACAACAGAAATTCTGCGTCGCAAATTTGAGCTTGGAAGCCGCATAAAAAAGGTATGCAACTTCTTCTCACCCTTCTCCAACCCAATTGTATTTCGTCTTAAGATGGCTCATAAGATTAGAAATATCAATGTGAAGTTGGATGAAATTGACAAAGAAAAGAATAGGTTTCAATTTAGCAGCACAGACACTACCAACAACCAGAAAAGAAAAGAGGGCCGAGAAACCTACTCTTTTCTTGACCATGCTGATTCACCAGCAGCATCAATTGTTGGGAGGGACGAGGATACATCAAAAATCATTAAAAACCTGAAAGACTACTGTGATGAGGCTCTCTTGGTCCTTCCAATAGTTGGTATGGGAGGAATAGGAAAGACCACACTTGCTCAGTTAGTGTTCAATGATGAATCTATGAACCAACATTTTGATTTAAAAATGTGGGTTTGTGTGTCTGATGACTTTGATGTCAAGAGGCTGGCAAGGCAAATCATAGAATCAGTAACCAAAAATAGTTGTAGCATAGATAATTGGGATACGATTGTAGGAAAAATTCGAGACACTTTAAGAGGGAAGAGATATTTACTTGTTCTTGATGATGTGTGGAACGAGGATGAAAGAGAGTGGAATCGCTTGAGAAACTGTTTAGTAGGAGAAGGTGCTAGGGAAGGAAGTAGAATCCTTGTGACGACGCGCAGTGAGAAGGTTGCATCTATGATGGGGGGTGAACCTCTAATGCACCATTTGAAAGGATTGCGCGATGAAGATTGTTGGTCCATATTTGAGCGAAGAGCATTTGGTGGTAGGGTTGATGTAATAGATAAAAATCCAGATTTGGTGAAAATTGGAAAGGAGTTGGTGAAGAAGTGTAAGGGTGTGCCCTTAGCGGCGAAAGCATTGGGAGGTCTAATGCGCACAAAAAGTGAAAAAAAGAAGTGGGAATCGGTGAGGGATAGTGAAATTTGGAAGCAATATGAAAATGATGAAACTGAAATTATGGCTGCACTAAAGCTGAGTTATGATCATTTGCCTTACCATTTGAAGCAGTGTTTTGCCTATTGTTCTGTGTTTCCAAAAGACTATTGGATTCATAAAGAGAGGTTGATAAGGCATTGGGTTGCACATGGCTATGTGGTTGAATGTTCTGATCAACAAGTGAAGGTTTTGGAAGATACCGCTGAGGATTATCTCAACAGCTTATTGTGGAGGTCATTTTTTCAAGATGCAGAGAGAGATGATTTAGGGAACATATGGAGATTCAAAATGCATGACCTTATGCATGATCTTGCACAATTAGTCAATGGGAATGAATGCGGTGTCTTAAAGTTGTCGTCAGACTCAGTAGATGATCAACAACTAGTAGACCAACGATTTGTTCATGAAAAAACTCGTCATTTATCAGTTGTTCCATCTAAAACTCCAAAGGTAATTCTAGAGATGTTGTCGTTGTACAGTGGTGGTGGAAGAAGAAGATTGCGTTCTATTGATCTCATGAACGATTTTCCATATTATATTGATTTTGACCACAAGGTGTTTGATTATATATCATCGAACTTTAAGTGCTTGCGTGTGCTGGACCTGCGTGATGCTAAGATTAGGGAGGTGTCACTCTGGATTGGAAGGTTGAAGCATTTAAGATACCTTGACCTCTCAGGTACAAGCATTCAAGAATTACCCAACTCAATCACCAACCTCTACAGCTTACAGACATTAATGCTTGTGGCGTGTGGCAATCTCAGACAACTCCCACGAGACATGAGAAAGATGATTAATTTGAGACATCTGAATATCATGGGAACTGATATCCATGAAATGCCGCAGGATATGAGACAATTAACCAACCTCCAAACATTGCTCGATTTTGTAGTGGGCAAGGACTATAGCCTCCGTGCTGGTCTAGGAGAGCTGGGTCCTTTGAATCATCTTCGCCGTTTGTATATCTCTGGCCTCCAGAACCTCAGTTCTAAAGGAAGAGAAGAAGCTAGACGGGCAATGTTAAAGGAGAAGCACAACCTTCTTACAATGGGGTTGGACTGGAGAGAAGATTTTGATGTTTTGGGTGATGCTCTTCTTCAACCTGCTAGCCCAAGTCTGGAATTTGAAGTTGTCAATGATGTGCTGGAAGCTCTCCAACCTCACTCAAATCTGGAAGTTTTCTCCATACAAAGATTTCCTGGAACAAGATTGCCTTCATGGATTACAATGATTGAACGAGTGATTATTTGGGAGTGTCCTAATCTGATATCTCTACAAGGAGGGAACCAAGACTCAAGTTCAGTGTCACTTAAACAACTGAACATCAATAGATGCTCCAACCTGACATCTCTGTGGGAAGAAATCCAGGGCTTCACATCACTGAAAGAGCTGAAGATTGTAGGTTGTCCCAATTTAACCAGGAGATATAACAAAGAGACAGGAGAGGATTGGAACAAGATTGCTCATATTCCAAATGTCCACATTGACATGGATTAATCCAAGGTTCGTACAAATACATGTATCCTCCAACAAATATGATTATTAATCTTTTTAAGAATATATATTTATGCCAACTCCAACAAATATGATTATTAATCTTGTTCAGGGTAACTTAGGCTTTATCCCTTCCAATGCAAATATGTTTATAGGTAATTTTTTCTCACTGCTCTGCTAGCTAGTTATGTGCCAAACTAATTTTCCTAATTGATCATTCTACTTCCTTTTTTTCTAATTTTTATCTTCTTAAAAATTGATGGCAAATTGCTTGTTTATGATCTTTGCACAGGTATCCTGATCTTGTTTATACCCCTTCTTTCATTGATTTCCTCTCTTCCTTTTAGAAGATAAAAAGAGTAACTATACAAAGGCATCTGCAGGTGGTTTTTGGTTAATGTTTTTCATTAAAAATCACATAATGTCTCATAATATTTTATTTCTGTTAATAGTTTTTATTGTTTTTCTTTTTTGGTATACAAAGAATCCCAATGTACAAGGAAACTATACATTGTAATCTACGAAGTTCTGTATATATATACTATATTCAATGCACTCAGAACTCAACCTTCAAGAATTGCTACTATTCTGTTTTTCAGAAGAAAGAAACAGCCCAATATGCAAGAAAATTTCACCCACCCAAATAGTATAGTAGTCCAATATTAATTAGGCCAAGTTCCCCTCAAAAGTTTAAATTTTGGGTGGAGTTCCAATTGCATTAATTGACTAAAATTGGTCTAAGTTCTTGAAGGCCGTCCTGGTGGTGGTTCTTAGTACTCGTAGCAATTTGAATTTTGACGGGCCAGACCATGCCAGGCAAACGGGATTTGATTCCGAGTGTCCGCTAGGACCAGCCAGAGACCCAGCAAACTGAACCGGTGAACCCCCATCAGTTGGTCTTTGGAAGCAGTGACTGAGCCACGATCAGTTGGAAGCACGAACCAAGTATAGTTCATTGGATTCGTGAGCTTTGGTTGAAGTCGCTTTAACTAAAAGTTGCTTTGGATAAACCATCAAAAAAGCTTTAGTTTAAGTACAGCGAATTCGGGCTTTCCGTTCGAAAATTTCACCAAGCCGAATTCTAAACATTCTTATAATCTGTTACGGTGGGGCCCACCTTGCAAAGCAAAAAAAATAAAAAAAAACTGCCAGGAGACCGAGTCCCAAACAGGGTTAGGAATACGTATACCTAAAACCAAAAGCGGTTGTGGCACCCCCGGAGTTTCCTTAAAAAAAATGATACATTCTTTACTTAGAAATGGAATATTCCAAGTATAAGCAACTTTCACAGAACGGCCACGTCGCTGAAATTGGTGTTTCATGTGTCAGTAATCATTCAATCACCATTCACCGAAGTTGCTTGGATTTTTGGCAGGTACCAGGCAACCTGCTTTATTTTTTTTTTCATGGTTTTCAGATGCTTCGTTGATCATCCAATGCTTTCTTTTCCTTTTTTATTTTCCTGAGATGTATATACCGTAAGAGCCAACCAGAGATGGCGAAAACTGAAAGCTCACACTTCCAAAACGGTATGTCTGTGGAGAAAGTTTTAAGATTGGTTTGGAGTTTGGACAATTGGACTGCAGTCTGGAGAGGTCGATTGGTATGTGAAAGATAAAAGAAAAGGAAAAGGAGAAGAGAAAAACCAGTATTTTGATACAAGAGACAAGAGGGTGGTCATGACCCTATTTGTTATTAATTCTTTCTCTCCGCGCAGCTTGACATGCATGCAAACACAGAATAGACAAGAAGATCTATGAATGAAAACATTCAGAGTTTCAGTAGACCCATATATATGATTTTATACCCATCCATGATTTTATATAAACAATAATAAGATTAAGACAAAGTGAATACTTGATTGTGTGGATTACTAATTACATATTCAAGAGCTACTGATCTTAAGCACTGTACCATCTACTGGTCTATCAGCAATCTCCATCTCCAGAGCCAAAGCTCAAAAGTTGAAGCTATGTGCGAGACAAGAGGATGCATTCATCTAGCTTCCTATCAAATGTCGATAATATCATCTTGTGTGCCACAGAAGCTCATCTCTTACTGTAATACATATCATTTCATCACAAGCTGAACTTGTATATTGCACTCTTTCATCATCTTACGAGATTTGTCCAGTGGGGCAGCTCACGGTCCTCTTCATCGACTTAAGCTTCTCTGCAGTTTTCTGCGCCTTTGTTGGAGGCTTCGTCTTCATCTTTTCTTCCAGCTATATGTGCAGAAACAAAAAATAATGAATGAAGACAGCACTCTATTCGTAAGAGAGGAGATATATAACCAGAAATGATAATAGCTGAATCCCCGGATGATAATAGACAATATTGACAAACTAGCTAACATAGAGATGACAAGACTGGAAGAGTAGTTTAATAAATTACCTCCTCTCTCCTTTTCTTCTCAGAAGCTGCCTGTTTCAACATGAGAGTAAGACAAGTTCAGTTAAAGCTCAGCACAACTAAGAAAAGCCCTGGAAAAATCTGTTAGTTTCCACAGATAACATTTGATTCATTTCAATTACCAAAGCTTCTTTGAGGCGACCATTCTCCTCTTTGAGATGATTCAATTCTGCTTCCAGCTCCACCGTATAGGCCTACAAAGTGAACAAAATAATAATAAAAGAGTGTAAACAGATGGGAGTGAGTCTGGAAGAATACAGAAAGTTTGCAAATTAACGTCTACTCTCAGCTTTTATGTTAACAAGCTCAAAAATTGGAACACTCTCTCTCTCTCTTCACCACAAACAGACATCCTCTCACAGGCAGACATGCACAAACCCACACATATATAGTTCATTGATGGTGTCAAACAATTTGAACTTTTGAAGGACTGTGAGATTTATGGGACAAACCTGTCTCCGAGAGTAATCAGAGATGTCTAACCTCTTCTTCTTAGCCAACTCTGCTTTCATATTCTCATTGAGTAGTAGTAAAGCAGGGAATACATGGGCGAAAAGTTAACCCAGATCAAGCCATCAAGGAGACGGAATCCAGAAAGACCCAAAAGGGAGGAGTGAACTGTGAAGGGTGGGTGAATCTTCCCTGCTGTGCTGTGTCCAGTCCGTGAAGATCGATTGTCTTTTTTTGACATCAGATCATCATCATGTTAGCTGTTACATATGTCCACAGTCCCACACTGATTCCAAAATGGTCTCCATAATCTTTTTTTAATGTGCATTAAAGAAGGAAAAACACGAGTATGCGTGAGCTTAAAAAGCCTTGAATGGGAGCAACTTATTATCGGCAGGTGGATGGCCAGGTGGTAACAGCCTCGAGATGCTTCTTTTTAACACCAATGGAGCGAGGGACGCCTGGACTTTCATTGCTCATCTGCAAAGAATCTGATTATTTTACAGGAAACACAACTTTCCATGTGTACCCAGTAGTTACCCAAGAAGTCCAGTCGACTAGTCCTTTTTGGTTTTGGATCCAGCGGGATGAAGAGAACCCAATCATGATTCAAACAGGAATCTGCCGAATGGATGTCCTTTTAAGTGTCTACTGTCTAAACCTCTTGGGTGTTGGGGGCCTGGTGGTGATACAGTCATACTCATACAGATCATAACCTAATATTTAAATGAGTGGGGAATTGGGACCCACCACTGAATGGGTCCCTTCTAAGGAAGTGCCGACTGCCAATTAATGGGTCCCATGGGAGAAATGGGACCAATTAAACAGTGGTCACGACTCACGAGTATGACTCACCCATTTATGGATCTTGTAGTCCCAGCACCCGACCATTCGCCAGTCTAGAGTCTAGTGGGAAGTTCTTTCCGCCTTTCAATCTGTTTTTGTAACCCATTTTTGGCAGGTGGACTAAAAATGGTGGCCAAGGTCCTCTGAAAATGGACTATTTTTATGGATCGTGGATATCACAAACTAAACTTTTCCAGTATGGTTGCGATCAGATGTGGGACCCATCACATGAAGGGCCCCATTTTGATCGTCAGAGTGGCATCTCCCAAACACTTGTATCCCACCAACCCATTAGGTCAGACAGAGGAGAAACCCTGCTCAGAGTTAAGTTGATCCAATGATTACAACTGTTAATCAATGACATCATCTTTGAAATAGATCGCATGGTTTCATGATTCATCCTTGCTCAATTGATCTAGGATAAGGAGAGCTGGAGAGCTGGAGAGCTATTTTATAGGCGTATAAATGGTTATTACTGTCTATAATTCTCTTAAGATTATAGATTGTCTACTAATGTGATGGGCTTAATGTACATAGTTCCATACCTGTTTCCTGGCTCGAGACCTGGCCGCCGACTCCCTGTTCTTGATCATCCTGCGTTGCCTCCTCTCCACTACCTTCTCTACTGGACTGTCTATTAACCTCTTTCTCCCCCTTATCCCACTTATATCCACTCCATACTGATTCGCCGTTGCGTTATCCACTTGACTCGTGCACATCCCTTCAGACGTAACTGGACACACCGGTGGCCCCAACGTATTCGCTGCCGCTGCTGCTGCTACATATCCAGCTCCATTTCCTGTTCTACCGCCAAAACAAACCGTCGCTGGAAAACCACCGTTCCTCTTTCCATTTGGTGCATAATTCGATGGCTCTCCCAAAACCGTACCGCTTTGCGGGAATGTTTGGTACGACAGGACACCGTTTGCCACGCCGTTTCCAGTACTCCGTTGCTCGGAGAATCCAAGACCCAATAAGGGTCCCATTCCGAAGTTGGGGTCCACGCCCGCGTTATTATTCTGGTATAACCCATACTGCTGTGTCGCCGTCCCAGTAGGTGGAACAGTCGCCGGAGTCTGAAGCTGGTGCTTAGATGAGGGCCCACAAGCCTCCCGAACAATCCCAGCTCTTATTAAGAAATCCTCGAGAGTCATCTCTCCGAATGTGAGTTGGCGCTGTGTAGTTCCGGGATTACCTCCGTTGTTTGGTTGCTGCTCCTGTTGTTGCCGCTCTTGGTGTTTGTGGATTTCGGCCCAGACTTCGTCGACAGTTTTGTGGCATAGTGGAGCAGGGAGGGTGATTGAACCTTGTCGGAGTACGCTGGGTTGTCCGGAGTTGGCCCTGTTAGCTGCGGCTTCGTCTGGGTTGGACTGCAACCTCTCATTGTTGCAGCCAATAGCCTGGTTCTCTTCCGCAGTCCAGATGTTGTTGAGGAATTCGTCCATGTTCATTGATCCGAAGCTCTTCCCGTTCTCGCATAATGTGTGCTGGAACTCGTCCAGAGTAAGAGAGTAGATGGAAGACTGTCTTCCAAGCGATGACAACGAGTGCGTCTTTGGTACCTCCTCGGGTGGCTTTGCTGTCGTTATTTCCACCTCTACACGACCGCGAGCTTCCGACTCTGGAACCACCATCTTCTCAGCTCTTACGCTTTCTTCGGCTTCTGTTATTCTGGGTTTCTTTGTTCTGGAGAAAGAATCTCTGTTTCTGCGGTTGCGCCGAGCTAGTCCAGTCCCTGAAGAAACAGAAGAAAAATGTCAGAGAAAGATCAACCGAAAGAGATTTCTTCCGGAATGAACGAGAAATGGAGTTTTATGTTCAGACCGGGAACAGGCACGAGATTGCCCTTTCTTTTATTTTATTTTTCTGGAACGACATTTAGTTCCTAAAATACCCCTTCTTTAGGGGACAAAATCATGTAACAATTAGGAATCCATCAACATTCTTTAGGCCCCACTCCCACATGATCGACCTACTAGGATCAAAATCAACTAATCAACACGATCAGACGATTGACAATCATCTGATGATTCCGATCATTGACCGAGCAGCTATCCAGATGTGACCCATGTGGGTCCGGAGACAGCTACCATCCGACAGTTTCAAGGCTCTAGTCTGGTTAGTCAATTCAACTCTTGGCGATGGTTGCCTGAGTCAGAGATGGCCACGTGGTGGACATGCAAGCAGTGGGTCCCACGGTTTAGAAATCATTGTTAGGACCCACATAAAGCTCCTGATTACTGAACTCAACCGCTATTGGTGGAGGTGGACAACTCCCCTAGGATCTGGTCAAAGATCGAACGGTCAAGATCGCGAACATGACCTATGGTAGCGGCCGATATGTTTCGGGAAGAGAAAGAGAGCATGGACGGGAGTCCCTTTCACAGATATTTATGAGATGTCTTATAATTTTTATTTCCCAAAGTGGAAAAGGAAAAGAAAAGAAAAGAAATTGTTGACTGAAAAAATGCCAAAGGCCGCTTTCCTAATTCCTCTGCAAGTGTGAAAACTTAGCTAAATCGAGTGTTAGAATCGTAATTTACGTCATATCAGAGACCCTAAATAGGTAAAAAAAGTGACTAAAGACGCCGTGTCGGCCACAGTTCGGCACTCCGGCTGGTCCTACCTGTCCACCACCATGAGAGCAAAAGAAAGTTGCAGAAGCAGAAGAACGCTCTCGAAGATTTTAAATCATCGAATTTTGAGATTTTTATAAAAAACTAAAGAGAGAATGCAATGAAGATCATCAAAAAGGGGGGAAATATTAGTAACGATAACAATTTTCATGTTCAGAGATTCAGAGATTTTTTTTTTTGGCGAGAACCGGTAAGAGATGCAAAGAAATCAGAGCAAAGAGCGAGGAGATTGATTACACACGGAAAATGAAAGTCGACGAAATCCGCTCATTTGTAGCGTTGGCATCTAACTTCCGGACGGAACGGAACGTCTACACTCGATGAGAAAACTACAGAAAAGAAGTGGTCAAGACGTGTACCTGATTCTTCTCTTCACTTTAAATAACAGGATCGAGACACGTTCAGAAGCTTGAGAGTTGGGATAGGTACAGAGACCTCAACAAGTAATCTACAAGAAAGTCTGAGTTTCGGCTCCATAGTTAAAACACAAATGCATTGCTCAGAAATCCTTGATAACCGATCCACTGCACTGAACTGAACAATTGCATCTGAGGTGACTGCTATTAACGGGGAGAGAGAGAGAGAGGGAGGGAGGGAGAGAGGGGAAGAGGTTGTCTTCCCGTTGCATTAAATTCCAGTTTTCTGTGAGCTTCTCGCTGACAAAAGCAAGAGCATGAGAGAGAAGGAGCCACTCCTGAGTCCTGAGAGAGAGAGAGAGAGAGGGCTTGGGCTTAACTGGAACCGTCTATTTTATCTTCACGGGCTTCTTTATAGGCTTTTTGGGGCCCGTTTCCTTGGCATAGTTATCCTCGGTGTGTGGGCCCCATCCACTGTTGTAACTTGTAAGTCAATTAAGTTCGATTTTATACTGCATTTCAGTTCCGGCTTTTTCTTTTCATTTCAGAAAGTCTGGGGACTCTGGGTCGACGATCTTATCGACACGTTTTCGACAGGCGTCCTCTCCAGACTCCTCCGGCCTCTCTGTCGATATCTACGCGTGTCATAGAATCTGCGCACACGTGCGCTTTTCTATCCGATGCCCTGTTCATTTACGCTGAAGGGTATTATGGTCTTTTAAGTTTCTTTTGGTTTGTCTTAATGATTATTCTATATATCGGAACTCTGCTCGGCTCTTTTGAGCGAAATATCGGAAACCAGGAGATGCTATTTGGGTAAAATCGACACAAAGGGTTAAGGTGTATACCATTGATGACGCGGGGCGGCGTAATTTGGTAATATCGTCTGTATGGGTCAAACGGGAGATCTCCTGCCAACAAATATGTTCCAACTCCCTTCCAACATGTACAACTTATCAGAGACTGAGATCCCATCCGCCATGTATAGAATGTACGGTGTCAAATCATGTTGGAATATGTTGGAACGTATAAGATTGGCAGGAGGTGCAACCAGTTTAATTTTGAGCACGTGACAGTCGACTCGGTTTTCGAGCAGCCCGGCATTGTATCGGACTTTCGGGTGAACGTCTCGGATCACGAGGGGGCTCCCCCAGTTTTTAATTGCTTCTGCCGTCTGGTTCGTAAAACCCCGGCAAGCCGAACTTGTAAACCGGGGCATTGACATTTGGCACACATTTTGGGCAAAAGCCCAGGTCCAACTCCTCTGGCGGGGAATTTTCAACTGTTGATTTGGGCTGGGCTGACAACAAAGATAGATTTAAGTTGGATTGGGCTGATATTGAGGCCTTGGGTTGGGCATCCTATCTTTGGGTCACAGTTATCATATCACTTGCTGTTTAAACAGGGCATCAACATTGCGACAAGCTTGGCTGTGTTTGATTGCAGTGTAATTTTATTTGTGCTAGTACAGATGTATGGGAGTGTAAATGAGAAAAATGTAAGATTTTGCTTAATTTTGTTTTCGGTTTTGCTTCGTGACTTAACTTACTTCATTTGTACTGCAATCAAATAAAATAAGCTAAAATTTAACACAAAAACAGATCAGAATTTACAGTCAAATCATTTGCATTGTTATAGTTTTGCACAAGTGTAAATTTATTTGCATTGCAACCAAATACAGCAAATATAAAAAACCTTATTTTTAATATAATAATAAATAATTAATACAAAAAGGTACTGTTATCTTCTAAAATTAAAATTTCCCAATTAATGCCACTGTATATTGTTTATAGAAAGATGAATGATAGTAAACACTAAATAGCGCTCTATGCAATTCTCTAAATTGTTTGCCCCTAAAAATAAAACATGGCAGAATTTCATATAGAAAAAAAAGGGTAAAATATAAAAGCCTTCCCTAAAGTTTCTGACAATCATAAAAAACTCCCCTTTAATTTTACTTTAATAAAAATCTCCCTTAAACTTTTAAAGAAATTGACAAAAACCTCCACTGACCCAGACACAAAACGTTAGACCAATGCATCCATATTTTCCAAATACCCAGTTTACCCTTTTGTAATTCTCTCTCTCACTCTACTGGTCCTCTCTCTCTAGGAGTCAAGTGATGCTGTTTCTTTACACTTTGACTCGTTCTCTCCCTAACTTCAAAAGTCACGCTCCCTCATCCTCCGCCTCTCTCTCTCTCTCTCTCTGAGCTCTCAAATGCCCCATCTCCCTTGACATTATGAAATCTCCAGTAAGCCTATGCATTGGCGTTACTTACAACCGATCCAGCATCTAGAAATGGATCGATAGTGCCGAAAGTAGAGAAATGTTATTTGTTACAGTAGGTTTTGTACCAATCAGAGCGCCACTAATGAATTACAAATGCTTAAATCAGGGTTTCAGCAGATGGGTTCCCATTGTTTCAAGGTTTCATTCACCCTTACTATTGCTGCCGCTGAAACAACCAAATGATTGCAACATTGAAGCAGAAAATAGAGGACCAATAAATAGTCTTAAGTCAGGATTTTTAAATACCTGAACTGGTAGCACCTAAAAATGGCTCCGACAATCTTTTCTCTTTTTCAAAATAGAAATTCCCCCTCATGAGTGTGTTCCTATTCCCATTTGTTCCTCCCCTCTCTCCATTATAACTTTATAATTGAGATTTAAAAAATTAGAACAGAGAATCCTCCCGTTCTCCCTCTGTGAAATTAAAAATGAAAATTATAAAAACGCAACTTCAATTTCTCCTCCAAAAAGAAGCCAAAAAACATCCACTATCCACCGCTACATATATCTCTCCCTCTCTCCTTGTTTTATCATCTTTCCTGCTCTCTCGTTTTTCTCGGGCAACAGCAATGGATGCCATCTCCCTCCATGAATAAAACAACAAAGAGAACATCCCTCCTTATTTGCAAACCAGATTAGCCCACTTTATGCAATCAATCCCTTTTTCACCAATAAAAAATGAGGCGGATCAAAGAGCCTCTCGAAAACATTACCCATCTCATCTATCCGTTAGTTTGATGCAATTCAGCTGTTGATGTTGATATTCTTTTCTAGGTAATACTGATGCATAGGCTTACCGGAGATTTCATGACGGTAAGGGAGGGAGATGGGGCATTCCATAGATTTCATGACAGCGAGGGAGATGGGGCATTTGAAAGCTCACAGAGAGAGAGAGAGAGAGAGAGAGAGAGAGAGGCGGGGAAGGAGGGAAGTTGAAGTGGGGGATGGTCGTGGCTTTTGAAATTTGGGAAAGAACGGATCAAAGTGTGAACAAGCGGTGTCACTTGACTCCTAGAAAGAGGGTCAATAGAGAGAGATAGTAATTTACAAAATGTATATAAACGAATTTACAAAAGGACAAAATGGGTATTTGAAAAATATTGATGCATGGATCTAACGTTTTCGTCTGGGTCAATGAGAGAAGGGAGGTTTTTGTTGATTTCTTTAAAAATCTAAAAAAGGTTTTTGTTAAAGTGAAATTAAAAGGGAGATTTTTATAATTATTAGAAACTCTAGGAGAGATTTTTATATTTTACCCTAAAAAAATAAAAAACACACTTTCCATTTGTCCGTGGGGCAAGGAATTCAGAGAGTTGTACAAAATCGTTGTCTATTGGAATAATTGTGACAATGTGACAATGATTCTTGGTTGTGAGTACGACGAGTTGTACAATTTTTTTAGGGGATTGACAAGCTTTTCGGTGTCATCGGGTCGGGTTTTATATGTCTGCCTTGATCCGAGCCCAACAAAAAAGATGCTCCAACCCTAAACCGAACTGACTAAAGCACAAATATTTTAATGCTACAACATCAACAAATCAGACCTTAATATGGGTTTCACCTGCCTACTTGAAATTAAGGCTGACCCGGCTCTAATCCGATAGGATCCGGGTCAGCAGGGTTATCCCTTAATCCGATCCACTGACATCTCTACCTTCCTGCTGTATATGTAAGGGTATAAAGTTTTATTTTTTTGAAATAGAAGTAAGTTGAAGATATTTTGGGAATCTCAAAAAGATTTTCTACTAGTCCTATTAAACGCATTTAACGTTTTAATGGAAATACGGGCCCTTTTGGAATGGACTAAGCTTAAAGCTTAAGCTTAGCTGCTTAACAAAAGCTACTCAGCTAAGGAATGGTAGCTGAAAAAGGTCAAGTAACGGTTTTCATTACTTCATTTGGATACTTTAATCATCGAGAAAAAAAGAAAAAAAAAACGACGCCACGACGGTATCTTAAAAGGAAAGTAGTTCATGAAAATATGAGAAAAAAATAACATTTTTATCTTGTATTAAATGTTTTAATTAAAAACAAGAACAGAAAAGCTAGGCCAAAGCTACACAGACGAGCTTGAGGAGAGAGAGAGAAGGGGCTGATCGGATTTTGATACAATCTAATCCAATCCCATATGAATCCATTACAAATAGATCAGGTTCAATTCAATTCGATAAATATTTTAAACCATTTTGAATCAGTTCAATTTAATATCTGAATCGTCAGATCTATTCAAATATCAAATTGTTATAAATTTACATTGGTTAATTCCAACCAAAGCCTCATCTATTAATACTTGTACTCTTATCTTTTATCAATGGATCGGATATCGATTCAATCTGACTTGAACCAACATAAAATCATTACAGTCTATACTAACTCTGGACTGATCCAATTCAATATCTTATTGGTCTGTCACATTGATTTCGATTTGGACGGATTTCAACCCAAAACTAATTCATTATCTATTGACACCCCTAATCCGAACAAATCACCACCTTTGAATCTCCATGTTTTACTCCAAAAACGTTGCTGCTTTTCAGCTTTTCATGCCTAAAAGCAAGAATTGGATACCTTTCTATAGGAATAATCCTGGTATATAATATTTGGCTCTCGCTACCAAAGCCTTTTTTTCCTCTGTCAAAACGGTTTCCACAACGTGTCTCCCGCCGTTGATCACTTTAATTCTCTGCAACCTTCCTCACCCTCCCTTTCTTGGTTTTCTGGTTTAAAATTTTATTGAAACCGTCTTATTGTTAAAACGTGTTTGGCACCACCAATCTTTTTCAGTTAGTCTCCAAGATCGACTCCAATTATGATGACTTTGAACATATAGAGTTGGAGATAAGAAAGTGTACATAGAAATTTTTAGTTGATAGAAAAATACCTAATGCATATGATATTTCTTTTTGAATGGATCTTTGATTTAGTCTCTAATAAAATATGAAATAAGTGATTATGATGATAGATTATCTGTTTATTGTACACATTTGTGTTTGGTTTGATAGAAAATAAGAGAAACAGAAGTTGAGGAAAAGTTCTTAAGAAATTTTAAAAGTTGTGTTAAAAACTTTCCCCCAACTTTCTCTTTTTCCTTTATATTCCACCAAAC